CTCGTGTGATTGAAAGATGGAAGACAGGCATGATGGTGGAGGGTTAACATGCAGCCTCACCAGATGCTCATCTCCCCCAGAGACCGCCCACTAACAACCCACTCCTCCTGTTACTGACACACAGAATGAGAAGAATCAGTTTTGAGTTACAAAAACATTAAAAACCCAACAAGAGCCTGTGGATGTCTACTGTATTTCCATGTTAAAAGGTTGTTGACCTAAAAAAAACTCATTCTTTGTTGCACTGGGAAGACGCCCACCACTCCCTTTTACTCTAGTTTCTTTAGATGGTAGGTTTTAATGAGCTCAGAAAGAGACAGTAGCAGATTTCTCTGACAGTATCGAGGTTAAGTGGGGGTTTAAGGCCTTGAATCAGAGAAAGAACTGTATCTTTTTATCATGTATTTCAGTATTGGAGCTGTTAGGTATCTCATCACTGCATATTTCCGTGATTTTTAGCATGGCTCATCTCCTTCTCTAAAATTGTATCTGTGCTTGTCTTTGTCTTTGCCAGCCGCTCCCGAACATGGGGGGTCCTCTACAACCGCAGTCTGTGCAGCCCCTCCAGCCTGTGCAGCAGGGAGTGGCCTCTCAGGGTGCCGGAGCCAAAGCAGCCCTCCCCTCCACTTGGTCTGACCCCTCAGTTAACATCAGCCTGGACTTCCTGGGCCCAGGCATGCAGCCACCCAAGCAAAGCCAGCCCACCCTCAATACCCTCCAACACGGTGAGAGTAATGGTAGCTCTCCGTCTCTCACTGTAGCTCTCCGTCAAAGCACCCCATCAATCAAAAATGATTTAAAATTTGGCACGTTTATTTATTTCATTTGTTCTGTCATTTCCAGGCAACCCGGCACCTGCCAACATGCTCTCCCAGGGATTTTCCGGTATGAGCCTTGGACCTACAACGGTCAGACCGCCTGCAAATCCTATGATGCACCCTGGTGCTGGCATGGGAATGGGAATGGGCATGGGAATGGGGATGGCCCCCAACCCGGGCATGATGGGCATGGGCATGAACATGGGGATGCCGCAGCCAGGTATGACCATGGGGATGCCCAGTGCTATGGGAATGGGAATGGCAATGAACCCTTCAATGGTCGCACAGCCCAAACTCGACGCATTTGCTGACTTCGGCAACTTTGGAAAGTGATAGAGCGGGAGAGCAAAGATCATCTGGTGGAGTGGTGTTGGTCTCTATCTCTCTCTATCTCTCCGTCCATTGGTGAAGGATTGTTACGAGCTGCAAACAAAGAGTACTTGAATAATGTCAACTATCACAATACCAACACCCTGCAATCTCATCTTCTTCTTTTTTTTTTTTTTTTTATAAAAGAAATGCCGTGTACTGATATGGATCTAAATGAATGTTTGTGTTGTTTGAACCAATGGTCTGTCTGGTCTTGGGTGACGGTCCGACACACACTGATGTCAGTGTGCCCTGTTGGTTTCATGTGACTCAGTGAGAAGAAGGAAGAGTGTGCCACCAAGAGAATGTCAGAGGGGATGTGCTTTTTATAACCTCAATCAAGTGAAATCACCAGAATAGCAAAAAAATAAATAAATTAGTAGCTTTTTTTTTTTTTGGTGGAGATTATTTTGCTGAATAAGTTTGAATAACATGATCAGCCATTTTAACTTTCTAATGTACATTTAAGAATGTTGTTACCTCTTTTTTTGTCATTGCTCTTCCTTTGACCTGTAAATAGAAATCTGGAGCCCTTTACAAATAAGTTATGAAGTTCCTATATGAGAGGCAGTGACAGTGTGTATCATACAGACCAAATCTGATATGAATCAAGACCCACAACAACAAAGCACATTGACACCTTCTATTTATACATAAGTGTCCACACACTCCAGATGTGACCTGTCAGTGCTATAGTTAAAGTAATGAACGAGTGTTTGGAGTGAAGGCTGTTAATTAATTTGAGGGGTTTCTTCCCTCAACAGACCATCATTTGTGGCCTTTCTTATTGCTATATATATAAATATATCTATATATTTTACTTATGAAGAATATTATAATCAGTTTGCATCCAAATGAGATAATCAGTAGGTAGAAAAAGCCTCGCACAAGGGTCGTGGGTTCTTTATTACAGCAGAGTGCCTGAAAGACGTTTGCCTTTTCTCTTCAGTTAACCTCTTTGAAGGAACCGATGTGACTGTGCAGTGTTGGACAGCTACCAAAACGGAGCTTCTCTACCAGGTACAAACATCTTGTGTTTGTACTAATGCCTCAAGCCAAGCGTACTGTCTGTGATATCAGATGCAATCGTTAAAAATCACTTCACTTCTGTGTTGTTTGTCCCACGCACACTTTTATGGTTCCGCTCTATTCAGGTCAGCGATAACTTCAGGGCTCAGAAAAACACACAGGATGAAAACATACTGAGCTCAACTTTAACTCAACACCTTCAAGTGTTGATCCAGACTGTTATTGCATCATGCATCCATCTGTTATGTGTTAAATATCCAGCAGTGCATTTCAGTAAATGCTGCCCTCACACCTTCCATCTTTTTTTTTGTTTTTGCACATTAAAAACAGCAACTTTGAAAAATAGTGTTTCTGTCATAGCCGTCATCAGTGGAAGTATGTTTTGCAACTTATCAGGAATATTGTAAGAGGAAGCACTTTTACCAGTTGGGATGCAGTTTATACACACCCAGTACTTTATGGTGGTTGGATGAAGACGTGTTGTAATGAACAATTCCATTCAGCTGTACGCCCGCTAACTGATCGGTTAGATGTACAAAACATTGCTCTTCTGTGGTTCAAGTGCCTGCCCGTGGTTGCCTCCTGACCCTTGTAATGAGCGATAAATAAATCTTGGCTGCCTGGCATTTTTGTCATGTCAACAATTAAATAAATAATTCACTGACCAGAGGAGAAGGCAGTGGATGCTGCAGCCCCCCCGAGAGGATTGAAGTTGTGCTTTCCTGCTCTCCCAAGGGCTCAAGAGGCGGAGCACACTAACACATAGTAGCCTTGTGTCGGAGTCTGAAGCATTAAAATGACCAAAATCTGTTTGCTGTTTTTTTTTTTCTTTTTTCTTTTTTTCTAAAATATATCAGTAGAGGTTGTTTTTTTCATTTTGTTTTCTACTTCAGATTGTTTTGATCTTCTCTAAAAAATGGGATTGTTACTGAAACACTAGCATATGCAAATGTACAAAAAAAAAGGAAATCCTTTGAGAAAATTAAATTTTGCATTATTCCCATTTTGATTTGATTTACACATCGATTCTTTATCTACAACATTAAACAGTTGATTGAAATTTGTTAATGGTGTGTGTTATTTGGTGCGCTGTGTCATTAGCCTCATTCAAAAGAGCTTCAAGCAGCAAAAGTGGAGCCACCGCGCTCGACTTTGAAATTGCATTTAGCTAATGCGAGTTTGTTAACTTCATCGTTTGGGGTAATAAAGAGAGGTCTTTGATAAACACGCATATTGACAATTTATTAATAAGGCAGGGAGTCAGGAGAATAAATGGAGGGAAACTAACAATACAGCCAATAAATGAGTATGATGGATACCAAATCCATAAGTTGCAAGCATCTAATATATATCACAGTGCATGTTAGGGCGGCAGCTAACAATTACTTTCTTTGTAGATTAATCTGTAAATTGTTTTCTTGTTGAGTTGTTCAGTCTATAAAATGTCAGAAAATGGTCAATCAGTGTTTCTAAAAAGCCCAGGATGATGTCCACAAACCAAAGATTTTCAGTTTACTGTTACAGGGGAGCAAGAAACCAGGAACATTTAAGAGGCTGGAATCAGAATGTTTTGACTTTTTTTTCTTTAAAAAAAATTACTTGCCAAATAATAGTTGACAACTAATCAATCATTGGTTGCAGCTCTATGGCATGTTGACATACAGGAGCAGAAACTAGATCACATGGGCAGCAGATGTAACAGCAAACAAGTAAACTGCTATAAAACACTGCTGGAATATGGCAATATCTGACACTTCCTGTGACAGGTGCAGCAGTGAACGCAACAGATGCTTTGAAATGTCAACCCTTCATTGCTTTAAGCTTTTGTGTGGTAACAGTTGAATTCTGGGTGATAACACAAAGAACTGTTGATACTTTTTGCCCTTTAATATCCATTTCACTAATGAAATTTACAGTTTGCCCTAATGAGATGGATGGCCTGATTACTGTGGTATAATACACTCAAGAGAAAGATTGTGTAGTCTAATTGTGGCCCGCCTCTTTACCACCAGTGCTGCCTGCGCCCTTCTCATACTGTATCAGGGTTTGTTGGAACACACTGGTGTGACAAACACAACGAAAACACAGCTCGCATTAAACAATTGACCCCATTTTCACTCTCTGGAGAGGAAGACTGTTAAATGGGCTACACTAATAATATATATGAAAAGTAACAGTATACAGATGAACAACAGCTCACCTACCGCTGGAATTTGTCCTATTTATGGCATAAAATATATAGAAAGGAGGTCAATTAATGTGTGTAGTTAAAAAAGAAAAGAGTAAAATACGACGCTCAGACCCAGAAACGTTAGAGCAACATACAATCACTCTGTGCCACTCGTCATCCAAAAGTAACCTCTGCCATTTAAAACAGAAAAAAGCAACATCTTTACAACTTCCATGAGATGCAGTAAATTGTGCTTTTATGGGTAATGTGCCCATTAAAGAGTAAAAGCAATCTGAGACGTCAAGACAAATGACAGCTTTTGAGTGCCATCTGCAATCTCTAGCTTCACAAACTCAATTATTCATAATGCATTTATGAAGTCCGCAGAGACTGCGCTGTCATTCCTGTTCAAACTAACGGGGAAAAGCAACATAAAGGGACAAGCTCTTGGAGATGACAATGGCCTCGCAGATGGCACTAATGTGTTTATGCTGCCACCTGCTGGGTCGTAAGCATAACACAAAGGCCGTCATTATTGCTGCGGCGTAACAGTGTCGCAGTAAATTTCTTAGTGGCTGTCAGACAAAAGAAAACAAGACAAGAAGTTACTATAATTACAACTGAGATTCTTTTATTCCTCAAAATCATGATCGGCTCTCTTGTGGGCAGAGAAAAACCTCAATATCAATATGATATAACAATAGTTCTTGTTTGATTCCTCTGAATCTAATTAAGTCACATCTCTGGCAGTTTATCTGCCATATCTGACACTGACCTATCATTACTGAAGTTCAGTGTAAAATAAAACTTGTAGCCCACCTTTCTTCCATCCAGGCTAAATATCAAACCAAAGACGATAATCAGAGTGGCTGTGGGTTAACCAGGATAACGTTCTCTCCCCGGATGAAAAGCTGGTTGATGTGGCGTGTGTGGACCCTGCCATACGTCTGGGAGTCTTTCCTCTGACAGGCCTCTGGACCCTGGGCCTTCAGCGAGCCTGCATGTTTATCCTGTTTGATTTTAACAGTGTCTGACATTTTGGACTCTGTCCTGCTGTCCCCTTTCTTGCTGGCAGTGTGAGCAGTCAGGTTTTTTGAAGTACTTTTTGGGTCTGCAGGCTGATGCTTGCTGGTCGTTTCCTGGGTTCTGTGCTTCTTCGCTGGCTCACCTCCTGGACTCTCCTGGAGCTTCAGCTTCTCAAAGAGCTGCACAGAGATTTCAGTCACATTAACATTCGTGGACTAAATGTAGAGCTTGAAGTTTAATTTTTTTCTAAAAGGTCCAGTGTGTAGGATTCAGGGGCATCTATTGGCAGAATTGGAAATACGAATTGTTGAGTTTTTATTACCTTATAATGAATTGTTATATTACTGAGCTCATCCTCTTCCACTGAGTCTGCCCTGTTAATTTCTACTGTAACCCAGAATGGACAAACCAAACACGGGCTTTGGGGCAGTTCACGTTTTTGTGTCATCATAGCTCTCCTACATGCTTAGCACACAAGTTTCAGTTCTGCAATCTCACTGCTACATGCCACTAAATCCTGAACACTGGACTTTTAAATCCTGTTTTAATAATATATATGGCTGGCACCTTTCAGCAGTTGACATGCGACAAATGTACATTCTTTAACTGGCTTTACTGGCGGGGTCCGCCATTCACTGGTAGGAGCCAAATTACCTATCTATGTCGGAGAGATTCATAAAAGCACTGCATGCTTTTAATCCAGCATTACTGTATTCAATTTTATCTCATTGAGAAAAGTTTCACTGTTTACTGTTGGCTCTCCTGATGCACTATCAGAGCTGTATTACTGCTAGCACACATGACAATTCCTACTGCTGCTGGAAGTGGCAGGGTGTAAATGTAATGCTTTTTAAGACATTTCTGCGACCACTTTTAACCAAATTTAAGATTGCTTTTTTGACAAATCATCTTTTTCTAATTCAAGGACTGCAGGTAAGTATAAAGCTAAATAGTATATATGCAGACCCATATAGAGGTAAGTTTTATGTCGGGATATGGTAATCAGAGTGAGTTTGTTTAATCTGCATTTTTGCAACAGGTAAGTGCAAGTATAAAGTAAAGAGACAGTATAAGGTTCAGTGGTAGGTTTAAAGATATAATGTGGACTTTCATGCTGAAGAGTTTTACTCATTTTGACAAAAATAAATTAAATAAATTAGATCAAATGTGGCAGTCAAGACCTCACAAATTCAAATGTGAGACTATGTAATGACTTTTAAGGTCTAAAATTTATATAATTGACATTTTAACACTCTTTAAGGACCTGCAGACACACTGAGTGGAGCAGCTTTTATTGTGAAGCAGTCACAGGAATCATTATGTATTTGTTTGGTTACCGTTGACAGTAACTGTTCATCATAAATGTGTCCACAAAACTAAACAATAGTCATTTTTGGCTTTTCTTTGACAGTGGATCAGTTTTAAATATTTCAGGGAGTGATGAAACAAGAAGAAGCAGCCACAGTAAGATGAAGAGCTTCATGAGACAGGCTGCACGCATCCAAGTCCTCAGTGGGGTAACAAACTTTACAGTGCCCTGCTACTGCATGGGTATCTACTCACACCGTGCACAGTGCTAAGTTGGTATGAAGTTGCAATTATGATTCATGGGCTTCTTTATCAGAGCAACATGAATTTGTTTGGCTGTTCGAGCATCACCAAATCAACCAGGACCAAAATCTTTCAGACTGCATCTCTATCTATTGCAGAGTAAGAAATATATTTCAGTAGACATACAATGTAAACCAGTGCCTACCCGTGATATGGTGAGGGCCTTTTCATGGTAGAGTGCCTCTCCAAACAGAGGCTCTCTGTACGTCTCATCCACATCCACCATTGCCTGACAAAGAGAAAAACAACAAACAGTGAAAGGCCAATATTAAGACTTCAACTTCATGGTTACAAGTACATTGTGGATTATTTCACATTCTGTTAAGTGAGAATTCAATAAGAAAACATGAATGTGAGAGCTCACCATGTTCCAGAACTTGTCAAAGGCCACCACAAAGCCAGAACAGACTCCTCTTAGCCCCTTAAAGGTCCTGATGTGAACTTTGACCCTTATCCTCTCTTCAACGCATCGGTACAGCTCACCCAACGGACTGCCTTTACATACTGAAGACACATGACAAATGGGTTACACAGCTGTCTCTACAACCAGTAAAATGTAGAAGGAACTCAACTGTAGCACAAAAAGGTCTCTGCAAAAAAGGCTACATGTGCAAATGTTACTACAAGATTAAACTTTTCAATCTGAAGATGCACAAATACCCTTGGTTCCAACTTCTGAAATATGAGGATTTCTCCCAAATTTATAGCATTGTGAATTCACTTTGAGTTTTGGGCCGTTGACTGTACAAAATATTCAATTCAAAGACATCACATCAGGTTCTCAGAAATGGTGATGTGACACTATTTTCTCATATTTATAGACATTTACTCATAAAGAAATAACAGATTAATCGAAAAAATAAAAATATCTTTAGTTCGCTGAAAATTGCAGGTACCATGTGAGAAACGTAGAAAATGATTAGTTTTCCATTTGACAGGAGAACACTCTGCAATAAAGTAGCTTTAGAGATAAGAAAGACACCAGGAATCAGTCTAAAATGAAAAATATGACGAAGGTAAGTTATTATTTGAGAGGTTTTGAGAAGCACAGGACAACTTCTGTCTGGTAGATGCAGCTTTCAAGTGAGAGCACATTAGGGACTGTTCATTACTTATGAGGGGGGAGAAGGTGGTGCAAAAAGGGGAGGCATGTCAATTATTTTTTTTAAGCACTGGAGAGAGATATGTTCTTTTGTTTTTGGCTTAGGGGGCTGGCATACAAGTGGTTAAATAAGTTAAATATATGGCATATTTAATCTTTAAAATTACCCCATTTATTGCAGCCAGAAACTGTAAAAACAGAAATTATCACATCTTCAACATCAAGGACTAGCTTTTAAAAATCTAATAACTAATATACAATGGAGGTAGGGACATGCATTTTCCACCAGTCACTCAGCGAGGCTCAAAGAAAAATATTTGTAGCTTTAAGAAGGGTCAAAATAAAATCAAAGTCGCAACCCCCGTCCTCTGATAAGGACAGTCCCTTACCAAACTCAGCCAAATAATGGTAATAGCAAACCCATGATGGTCTAGAACTTCCAGCAAAACTATATTGATGTAGTAGTAGTAATGTTGGTTGAACCTACAGGGCATCCTTGTCAGGACATTTTTCTGGGGCTTCTGCCCCCTCCTCCTCCGCTGTGTGCCGCTGCTCTCCCCCTCCTCTGACCCTGACACCGGGTTGTTCACCATGAGCTTCTTCAGCCTCTCGATGCGCTCCGGGTCCGCCACCCCCTTCATCGCCTTCTGCCGCCTCTTCTCCACATTCTCCGGTTTGGCTCTGCCCCGGCCACCCTTCAGAAAGCTCTCGTACGCTGCCACATTGTTGAAGCATTTGATATTTGGAAAAGGAACCGACACAGTAGGCGAGTACAAGGCCAACAGAGGGTCAAAGTTCTCAGAGCAGACATTTATTTTATCGGCGTCATCGCCTCCAGCTTTACTGTCCGCCTTTGGCTCGTGCTCCAGTGCTGGTGGCGCACTCGAACAGGTTGGAGTGACCGTTTCTTTACTGTCTGACTCTGCACTTTTCCTTTCCCTCTCCTCCATGTTTGAAACAACCGCAGAGATGAACACACGGCGAAGTGAAGAACTCTGGGAAAGTTTTTGTCGTCACTGAGCGCTCACTCTGCGCCTATTTCAAGAGACCGTACACAACACAGAGCACGTCACTCATGTTTCAACTCCGGAATCTTTATTTTTGTGTAATTTCCCCACTTTTTTCCTACAATAATTTGATAGAGAGGCCATATCATCAAATTATTCATACATTACTTGTGTACAGCCTTAACATTTATGCAAAACCCACCCGGAAATAGCGTAGTCTGCAAGTGGACTACAAGTTCCGTTAACGTGTTTCCGTAACTTCTTTTTAATACACGATCTTTGGGTGCACTTCCCCCCTCACAACCACAAGATGGCGCCCAAACACAGATGATGTTGAGTTGCTTCTGGGTAACTTTGCTCGCCTTAATAGATTATCCAATGCCGTAGCACAATAACATATTGGTACACAATGGTGGATTTTTAAAAGGGGTTAAGAAACAACTGAGAGCAATATTTGTTTTTAATTAATTGTTTGTTAATTTCAGGCTTGAGCACCGGAACTCTTGTTCGTCGTGTCGGCGGCCCCACTCCGACAGAATTCGTTGACGGACTGTGTACATACCAACGTGTGTGAGCCAGAAACAGTACCGGGATAAATGTACATATCGTTCTATGACACAGCTTTATTACTTTACTAAGTTAAATTTTGGTGTTTGTGTAACTAGCGGTATAGCTAGATATTAACGCATGAAGTAAACGGGTTTCCAAGAAGTATCTAACTTGCTGGTTAATTTGCTGGTGTGTCGGACTAACACTACAGATGGCATCACAGTGTAAGTAATGACTAATAACTAATGTTATCGATGAGCAGACGAGCAGGCAACATTAATTATTCCATAATTAGCCTCGCCATGAGTTGGGCCTCTTTATAAATTGGATTTGAGGTCTGAATATAGTAGTTTATGAGAGAGAGGGCGTTACCACAAAATTAGGTACTGAATAATACCAGAGTCACATATGTCACTTTTGTTATTGTTAAAAGCTGCCTATGTACCGTCATGTAAGTTAGAGGGATATGCAGCATGTTGTTACATCACAAAATAAATGTAATTGTGATAAGTTACAGTTACCAAGACAAAAAAATATGGAACAAAATTACAGTTACTACTCAAAATGTTGGTGATTACAATGGAGTTACATCCAAATCTGTTATTTTCTGTTAAAAGCATTATGTAGAATGAAACATTTATTCTGTTGTTTTGCATCTTCGCCATGCACGAATGCCTTCTTTTTGGCATCGCTTATTTCCGGACATTTTTCAGCTTTATTGTCAAAATTAAAACATTTGTTAGAAAAGTAAACAAATGTAATAAGTTGCAATACTTTACATTTTTAACAGGGTATCTAGTAACCTGTAACTTGTCACATTTCCAAATTAACCTTCCCAACACTTGGAATGTTGTGATTTCTGAAGTGAATGCATTATTAATACACTACTTATGAATATATTTCAGATACCACCACCCAATCATTTGCCAGACATGTTAAACACAAAACAGTTTTTAATAGTTAACAACAAATGTAAAGTCTCTGAATTAAGTAGGTAATCACTGCGTACATGCATACAAGAGCTGCAAAGATGCAGATATTGTGTTTACGTCGTCTTTTTTTTTTATCGATCCCGCTGACATTAATATTGCTAATAAAAACAAGAATTTGTTTCAGCACTATTGAGACTTTGGGGATACTTCAGTTGTGTATGAGGAATTATTTTGGCTGCAAATATAACCAGTTGCTTAAAATATAATGTGTGAATTTGTTTTTTTGTCTTTTCAGGACCACCCTCATGTTGATTGGAAGGGCCTGCAGATTTAGTGGACGTGTCAGGTCTTGTTTCATCAAACCTTTGGCCAGTTTTTCTTTCAGTTCCAGCAACATGGCCAAGAGCAAGTTTGAGTATGTCCGCAACTTTGAAACAGACGACACATGTCTACGAAACTGCTACATTGTTGTGAGACTGGATGGGCGTAACTTCCACAAGTGAGTTTCCTGTTCAAGCTGAACATCTGTCATCTCTGTGAGGACATAAGTGATGTTGCAAATCAACAGGGTGGTGCATTACTCTGATGTTTTGAGTTTCTTCATGCATTCTGTCTCAGGTTTGCAGAGCAGCACAAGTTCACAAAACCCAATGATAACAGGGCGTTGGGCCTGATGACCCGGAGTGCACGCTCTGTCATGGAGGAACTAGAGGATATTGTCATCGCTTATGGTCAAAGTGACGAGTTCAGCTTTGTTTTCAAGAGGACCTCAACCTGGTTTAAGAGGAGAGCCAGGTGCCAAAGTTTTGCCACACTGTAAACTGTTGTCATTCCCACAAGCCTTCAGAGTTTTAACTTTATTTCTCCCTGTTTCTCCTCTGGCAGTAAGCTCATGACCCATGTGGCCTCCCAGTTCTCCTCCTCATATGTGTTTTACTGGAAGGAGTTTTTTGGGGAACAACCCCTCTTGTACCCCCCAGGCTTTGATGGACGCGTGGTCCTGTATCCCAGCAACCGCAACCTCAGAGACTACCTCAGCTGGAGGCAAGCAGATTGTAAGATCATACTGCACTTCAACTGTTTTACAAAATCACATATCTGTTCATCAAACAGACAAAGGTAAAAGACTTCAGACTGTGCATGTGTTTTTGTGTCTTTCAGGTCACATAAATAATTTGTACAACACAGTGTTTTGGACTTTAGTACAACAGGGGGGACTCACCACAGCCCAGGCAGAGGATCGCCTAAAGGTGAGAGCGAAACACACTCTAAAGTTAAAGGGACAGTTCAGCCCAAAATCCAAAATCCATATTTTCCATCTCACTTGTAGTGCTGTTAATCAGTGAAGATAATGCTGGTGCGAGCTGGTGAGTTTTGGAGACATCGGCCGTAGAGATGTCTGTCTTCTGTTGAATATAATGGAACTAGATGGCACTCAGTCACCAAAATACATTTGAAAAACAAAACCGCAATGTCTCTTTCCAGAAATCATGACTTTGTTACTCAAATTCATCCACAGACTGTGTTGTGAATAGTTTCATGTAGGAACTGTTTTCTTTCTTCCTAACTACAACCACCAAATGTGCAGAAGAAAGTGTGCATTTCCTCGTGAACAAGAGGCTCATGCTTGTGACAGGGCAAGCTGTAAACATCGTGGCATCCTCCTCGGCTAAGCTGTAACGTCAGCTAGTTTGATGGTGTCAGGTGAGCAAGCAGTAGGTGCATGCTTCCTTCTGCGCGATACAGTTGGGTAGAAAGATAATAGTTCTTACATGAAACTGCTCACAACAAGGTCTGTGGATTATCTTGAGTAACTGGTTCATGATTTCTGTTAAAAGACATTGCTGTTGAGTTTTGCAAATGTGCTTTTTCGGCACTTTGAGCACCACAAGCCGAGTGCCATCTAGTTCCATTATACTGGAGAGAAGACAGACATCGCTACAGGTGATATCTCCAACACTCAGCAACTAACGCCAAAATTATCTCCATTGATTAAAAGCACTACAGGTAAGATGGAAAATATGTATTTTTGATTTTGGGGTGAACTGTCCCTTTAATTAACACGCGTTTGTGTGTTCACATATAGGTGCATGTGTATATACAAATGTGTTTTATAATAATATTAAATGGGAATGTCTCTCCTTTGTACTGTGATTACTTTTGCATTTCTATAAATATCAGAATAAAAGAACAAGACCCTTAGAATACAATGAATAATAAATAGCAGGAAACACCTGCATATTTAGATGTTATAAAACATGAATATTTATATTACCACCTAACACTGTACACTCATATTCAGTGTTACAATGTTGTTACAGAAAGATGTGATTTTTTTCGCAGGTGGACTCCTATTACTTTGTGTACTGTGTGTTTTCACTTGTATGCCATGTCAAAGACAAATTTTCATTGCCTTGTGTTGACTTATTTGGTATCAGTTCCTGGTGACGGAATAAGCTGATTAGTCAGTCAGTTGACAGGAAATAAATTATTGACAATAATTCATTAGAAGTTGAATACGTTTGTGTTGGCAAAACTTATCAATTTGCAGACATGACTTCAGGGTCTGATAAAGTTCAATGCTCAGTTATCAATATTGAGATTTTCTCAGGCTAAACAATGAGTTAATTAATGGAAATACAATCAGTAGATTTATTAGTATTAAAAATGATAGTTAATTACAGCTTTCTTATCCATGATCCAATTTAAAAGCATATACCAGATTTCAACCTCCTTTATCTGCATTATTTTGTGTTTGTAATTAAAGTTCTTCTGTAAACTTTGACTAAATAGCACTTTTCAAATTGTTATGTTACCAAGAAGACATGGTTCTGGATGCAGTTGCTCGTATAGCTGCATTTCATTGGCCCATTGTTTGTGCTAATTCATGTGGTCCCCACATTATTGACTTCTGGTTTATTGTCATTGGAGATGAACACATGGCACTGTTCCCTGTAAGTTCTCTGGAAGTCGCTTCATTCTCCAGTAGCCTGTAAGGGAAACTCCAATGAGGTGATGACCGCTGACAAGTTGTGGAAATGTTAATTCTGGCTGAATGTTTGGGCAGTATGAATCATTCACAACCCATCAAACCACTGTGCTTCTTCAAACCCTTCATGACTTCCTATTTCAAAAAAAACAAAACAATAATAGAAGCAGTGGGTGTTGCAGTCATTTTAGTGGTTTTCTCAGTGGTGTGAATCATAATATGACTTATTTAGTGAGGCACTGTGTATGAGCTGATTATTGTATACACACATTTTTGTTATATTTACATACATGTGTTGTTTCTCCTTCTAGGGAACGTTAGCTGCAGACAAAAATGAGATCCTGTTCTCTGAGTTTGATATAAACTACAACAGTGAATCTGCTCTCCACAGGAAAGGCACCACTCTCATCTGGGAAAAGGTGAGCTGCTGAAAAGGGTTTGAGTCTGCACGATTGTTACTAATTCACTCGGATAACTACCAATAGATATCTTTGGTTTTCAATGTGTAATA